TGAGTTTAGCTTACCATTATTTTATGGCATGTTTGGTTCATTGAATAAGTCAGGAATGGAATACCATTTCTTGGAATAGACATATTCCATTGTTTGGTTTGGTCATTTTGCCATTGGAATAATATTCCTATGAATGAGCTATTAACTTTGCAAGGGGAATAGCTATTTCTAAGGGTGATATTAGCTATTCTCATGTTCTTAGGAATAGCTTTTATATCACAAATACCAAAAATATCCTTTGCACATTATTTAATATTTATATTTAATAAATATAATGTATTATATAAATGTATATATTTAATTAATTATAATTTTGATCTATCAATAAATATATATTTAAATAAATTGTATGTATGTGTGTGTTAGTGTGTATATACACACACATATTTTGCATCGTTTGCAATTGATATTTTGAGAAAAGAAAAGTCTTTTCTCAAAATGACATTGACATTTATATATATATATATATATATATATATATATATATATATATATATACACTAGCATTTTGTACGCACGATGCGCAAAAATTCATGCCTAATATTAAAATATTGATAAATACAAATAATTAAAAATTATAATTTGAATTATATATACACAAATAATATATGTATTTTGCACACACACATATATAATTTATCATTCATAGAAATTTAATTAAAATATAATTAAGTATTAAATTAAAATATAATAATTTTAATAAAATGATAATCAAAAATAGAAAAAAGATATGATAGATATAGGTGTATGGTAATAATGATGTGTTATCAATGTTAGAATTAAAAACTAATAGTGTTATAACGATGTAAGGGTAATTTTGTCTAATAACATTAAAATGTACAATATTTAAAGTAAAATGTACACATTTAATTGCATACAAAAAAAAAAAAGACATAAATCAATGATCAATGATATAAATTTAATTGAGGCTTATTATGTTTTTAGATATAAAAATTATATACTCCTAAATTAAGTAGCATGTCCATTCGTTTGCCAAGCGGATGGACATTGCAATTGAAATTATAGAGCCTGGAGTCTCTTTTTATAGGAGCCTCAAGGCTCCATTCCTTACTTCTCCCACCGATGTGGGACAAGTGGAGAAACAAATATAAATATAAATAGAGTTAATACCCAAAATCGTTCTCGACTATAGTGGTTTTTCTCAATTTCGTCCTAAACGACTTTGGTGACCTAATATCGTCCCAGACTTTTGTGTTTCGCTCAATTTAGTCCCAGACTTTTGTGTTTTTGCTCAATTTAGTCACTCATTTGTTATTCTGTCCATTTGGTGTTAAATAAATAGACAATTCAGTAATTTTAATATTGGCATCTCTTTACTCATAGACATGTGAACTGCGAAATCTCTTTTTTTTTGTTTTTTGTTTTTTTTTTTTTACGAATTATTCCCAGAATTACTCCTAAAACTGCTAATATAAAATTTGATTTGTAGGTCCGGGAGTAATTCTGGGTGTAATTCGTACAAGAAAGAGGAATTTCGCACTTCACAAGTTGAAAGTAAAGAGAGATCAATATTTTAAATTTATTTACGAAGGGGAATACCCAAAGAACTCAAAAGAAAGAATCAGTGCCAGTATTTACATAGCGCCATGATGGTATGCCCTCTATATCATCTTCAAGAAAGCTATAGGCACCATCTGGTGGATTAGGCAGCAGCTGGATGCCATTGGCAGAGTTCCTAGCAAGGGTAGCAAGGTAGTCCGCAACTTGGTTTTGTTCGCGGAAGACTGAAGCGATGCGGCAAACTTCAAAGCAGCGCAATTCTTTCTTACAGGCCTCCAGGATATTATGAGCTGCAATAGAGGGAGGCCTGGAATTATTCATGTACTTAACCATCTCGCCAGCATCACTTTCAATTATCACTTTCCCGTATCCCAAGTGTACCAGTAGCTGTATTCCCTTGAGGAGTGCCCATGCCTCGGCCTCTAGCGGTGAGCAACCTCCAATATTGTATAAGAAGCCATGTTTCCACTCACCAAGGCTATTTCTAATGACTCCTCCGCAGCTGGCCCTGAACGAATTCAGGCATACAGAGCCATCAATATTGAGTTTAACGAAATTTTCCTGCGGTTTCGACCAGCATAGAGGTCTCCACGTACTCTGACCATCATGATGATTCCCTTTTTGGCTATCAAAGAGAGATCAATATTGACATTACTGAATTGTCCCTTTATTTAACACCAATTTGACGGAATAACAAATGGAGGACTAAATTGAGCGAAACACAAAAGTCTGGGACAATATTAGGTCACCAAAGTCGTTTAGGACGAAATTGAGAAAAACCACTATAGTCGAGGACGATTTTAGGTATTAACTCAATATAAATATGTATTTTTATAATAATAATAATAATAATAATAATAATAATAATAATAATAATTGTTGTTGTTGTTATTCTCTTACACACATGCATATAATGTAAATAAATAAATAAATAAATAAATAAATAAATATATATATATAACATTCAGTATATCATAATTATATTATTATTATTATTATTATTTTGTATAGGGGTATTTATGTCTTTAAAACCTATTCCTTTAATCAACCAAAAAACTGAAATACAATTACTGAAGTCTATTCCTTAAAAATGAACTAAACAATAGAATACAATTCATATTATATTCTTTACCTATTTCATTTCTTGTGGAATAACATTCTCATTCCCTTCAAATATTTCTGTGAACCAAACGTGCTATAAGAGTCTCTTCATGCGCTACACAATAGATTCTCTTCTGAGTTCGTGTTTGTGGATAAATAAATTTATATTTAATATGTAAAGCGTTAGAGTTTTCTTATTGATATTATATTATATTGAATATTGATATTGATTAAAGATTATAAATATGAATCACCCAATTAATTGAATCATGATAAAACTATCAATTAGGGTTGGGGTTCAGCCTTTGGAAGAATAATAAAATTATCAATGAAAGTGTTTGTGCCGAGCAAAAAGTTAACCTTTCTAACAAGTAGATGTAACACTTGATCATGTTACATAATTATCATATTTAAAGGAATATTGTGTGTATATAAATCAGAGCAATTATTCAGAATTTCTCTTATCTATAACTTGTTTTTTTAGGAAAAATGTCAAATTGGCCCCATAAGTCGAGTGGATAGTGCAATTGGGTTCCCTAAGTAAAAAAAACTTCATTCAGGTCTTTTAAACCGGTAAAATTGTTCAATTAAGTCCAATATGACTTGTTTATCAGGTTAAATCGATATGGTGTTGATACGTGTCCTTTTGTTTTATTTTTTAAAACAAATATTTTTTTATTTATTAGAAATTAAAAATAGGGAAAAGGGTCAAATAGACCCTTGAACTATAGGCAAAAGAGCAATTAGGCCCTTCAACTTTTAAAATGTGCAATTAGGCTCTTTAACTTGTTATTTTGAGTCAAATAAGTCCAATAACAGGTTTTTCACCTGTAATAACCGGTCAAAAAATTCCGGCGATATTTTCCGACGAAAAAACTCCGGCGACAACAAAATTAAAAAAAAAAAAAACTAAACTACCGGAGAAGACAACCGTAGCCGTCTTCCTTAGACTGCTGTGGCCGGTCGGCCACGGCTGTCCATGAAGAAGGAAGACAACCACCGGCTGTCCGGTGCGGACAACTGGTGGTTTTTTTTTTTTTTTTGTTTTTTTTTTTTGTTTTTTTGTTTTTTGTTTAAATTTTATATTTTTAATAATTATTATTATTTTAATTGATTAATTAATTATTTTTTTTTTTTGGAAAAGAAGAGGGTGGAAAACCCGTGAAGAAAAGCTAGCGGCAGTGAGGCCGAAAGATCAAGTGTACTGGACAGTACTGCTCGCTCTAGCTCCAACTTTGTCCTCCCATATCACGTCTTCTAGAATGCTAGGCATATCCAACAGCTCTCTTGCCCCCAGGTCATGCGAAAGAGCTGTCGCGGCGATTCGGTCGGCAGCTTGGTTCTGGGTACGAGACACCTGCTTAATAGCCAAGGCTTGAAAATGCTGGCATTCACAAACACATAATTTCAGAATATTGCACCCATTCTCAATCCCATTGTCCATATCTGTAAAGCTTTGGACAGTACACAAGGATTGACTTTCGATGATCAGCTTGTGAACGCCCCATCTTGCTGCCATCCATAACCCCAGCAAGAGGGCCCATCGTTCGGCGTATTCCGCTGAGCAAGAGCCGATGTTGTACGTGAAGCCCCGCACCCAATCCCCAAAGTGGTTGCGAAGGATGCCTCCACATCGCGCTCTTGTTCCCAAACCTTTGCAACAACCGTCTATGTTGAGTTTCAACCACCCGGCTTCCGACTTCGTCTATGGCATAGCTACTGTCGTGCTCATCCGCTGCGTGCTTCTTGGGTTCCACCTCCGCTGGAACGCCATTGTGATCTCGGGGTTCCACCTCCGCTGGAACGCCATTGTGATCTCGTTCCATTGGTTAATCACCAAGGCCAGAGACTTATCCCAAATAAATAATATTTTTAATAAATAAAAAACATTTATTTTAATAAATAAAATAAGAAAGACACGTGTCAACACCATATGGATTTAACCTGGGAACAATTTTAAGGGGGCTTCTTGAATGAAGCAGATTTTTTCACTTAGGGGACCCAATTGCACTATTCACTTCCCTTTTTTTTTGAGTACTAAATGTAGTATTTGTTATTAAAGTACAAATAGTTAATAGTTAATATCACACCTAGTTGCTTGAACTCATAACTTCTTATTTTTTTTTTATAAGGAAGGAGATATATCCTACATATACACACTACTTGCCTCAACCGAAATTCAAACCCATCACCTCCTATTTAGGGGAGCAATCCGATACCAGTGAATTACAAGCCACTTGTTTCATAACTTCTTATTTAAAAGTCACTTTTTGTCACTCAGGTCATTGACAATTGATTATCAATTTATTATATAATGTTGGAGACTAATTTTTGTGCCACTACATCTTCCAATGGGAGAGAGTTACGTAGAAACCATATCGATTAAGATGTTCTGACCTACACAGGATGATTTCTTGGATAGACTTGATAGACTTTTTCATTACTTAGCGCAGTGGTTATCTTTGGGACCAAGAAATTCGCAACAACAACAATAATATAAGTTTCATTGTATATATATATAAACAGACGGCAAACAACCAGGTATATATGATACGGAGTAGTCTGTATTGAGATTTGAGAGAAGGGTTTTAGGTATAGATAGAAGCGCGGCTCACGGCTACGCGTGGTCTGCGGTAAAATCTTTCAATTTCTGTTTTATCTTCGCCGTTTCGATCGCTTTGCTCGTTGAAGAATTCTTGTAAATTCTAGGTTTAGGTTTCTTTGCATCCCGAATTTATTAAAAAAACAAAAACAAAATTACATATTTGCTGTTTTGCGGTTCACCTGGAACGCTATCTAATCAGAGTGGAGTCTAGTGGAGTAATCTGAAGCTTGCTGACCGTTGCTATGGACACTTCAATTGTCATCAAGGTTTGTTTTTTGCCCATGATTCCGATTTTTCTTGATTTGTTCTAATTTTATTGTTTTTAATGTTGTTGATTTAGTGTTCGATAATCGTCTTTTTGTTTTCTTGTTCCTGAATACGCCACTTATTTGAGCTAAACTCGTAGGGTCTTAAAGTTCATTGATCTTAGGATAATTCTCGTTGTTTTTTTTTTTTTTTTTTTTTTTTTTTTGTCCTTCATTCCAATTTTCTTTATTTAAAAAAAAAAAAAACCTTTTAAGCTTTATTTATTTTTAATGATGATTTGATTTCTTTTTCATTGTGCCCCAGGAATTAATTAACTATTTTAAAAGTATATTAGTGATGTTTTGGGTTTCTGTGTGCATAATAATCAATTAAAAGCAAGAATTATAGCTTCACATTTTTGTATCGGTGAATCAGCTGTTGTGAGATACTTGTAGGCCTAGGCTGAGGAGAGATATAATGAAGTTTAATAAAGGGGCTTTTTGGAAGATCATGAACTATGAAGTGCCTGCTTTCCATTCTATGGCAGGGAAAGAGTGCTCTTCTTTAGTTTAAGGTCTTTTTGCTTTTAGCTTGTAGACTTGTGGTGATACTTGATCCATGAAGCAGTTGTAGTTCATAATCCCATGTGATGTAATGGCTTTATGAGCCTTGATGATTTGATTTGCTGGATACTTGGCTTTTCATTGATGGTGTTCATAATTGAAGCAGATGTTATTGGGTATATATGTGTATATGAAGTGTTTTCCTAACAATTGATTATTTTATGGGCAGTAGTAATTTTATGTTATGGATTGAAAGATTCTTTGTTCCTCTTTGATTGAAAACTTTCACTTGGCTAGTGCCTTTTGTGTGTTAAGTTTTGTGGTTCATCTAATGCATGCTTTATCATAGTTCTTATTCTAGTACTAGTATTTGCCTCTGTTGACATTCTTACCCATGAATTATAATTACTTAAATTGGTAATATTTGTTCTGTATCCTATGCACTATGCACTTTAGGTTAAGTATGGAGAGACACTCCGGCGTTTCAATGCTGGTGTTGTTGATGAGAAGCTTGCTCTTGACATAGATCAACTGAGGGAGAAGATACTTTATCTCTTCAACTTGTCTCCTGATGTTCAAATCACTCTTACTTATATTGATGAAGATGATGATGTGGTAACACTGGGAGATAATGAAGATTTGAAAGATGTTGTGAAACAGGAGCTGGATCCCCTTAGAATTACAGTGAAACTGAATTCTGAGAGGAGTGGTAGACCTTCATCAAGATCCAGTGGATCTTCTACTCCCTTGAGATCTCCTTCCATGCAGCCTACATCTCAGAACATGAATGCTGGTGTTTCTGAACTTTTAAAGGCAGTGCCTGAGCCTGTGCGTGAAACACTCATTAAACTGTCTGCCGACTTGGCTTCTAAAGCTACATCATCTGCCCCCCCTGTCCTTTCTGAGCTCGTTGAGGCATTCTCAAAGGTAGGCTTATCCTATCTAAACCAGCCACAAGAGACCCAGAGTAAGAATGAATCTGGCTCACAGGAGCAACCTTCTGGTAATGCTTGTGGTGTGACTGAGTGTGGTCCAAGGGTTGATGATATTCCATCGGAGGTGTTTCTAGACACCACGGCTAATAAAATGGAAGCCATTGTGAATGAGGTCTTGAAACCTAGTAGTGAGGCATCCTTGAAAACAAGTGGACCAAACCCTACGAAAGTACCTGAAGGTGAGGCCTTTGTTCCCAAAACTGTCTCTGTTAATCTGAATGAACCTTTGATTGGATCTGCAGTAGGTGATCCTGAACCTACTGTGTTTAAGTCTGATGTTGGCAAAAGGGTTGGAGGTAAGAAATTTGGTGATAGTAGTCTAGTTGGAAAGGCTCTTGGTATTGCGAACCCTGGTGCTCCCTCTTTTAATGGAAACAATATCAATAATACTAGAGACTGTACTGGATTTGGTTCTTTCAATCTGAATGTATCTACAGATTCTGATCATCTGAAGTGGTCTATTTGGGACTCAGGTGATTCAAGTTCTGGTGGTTCTTTAAGGAAGATGTCACGGGGTGATTTTGGGTCTTCAGGCCCACAACCTCGTCTGAGTTTTACGGGTGGGTGTCCTTTCAGTGGTGTGCCCACAGCCGATAACCCATTTTCACCCCTGCCTGTTCCCTTTGATGTCCCTCCGAAAGGAAGCCATAGCCACAGTGTTGGGAATGGTACTATATTCCATAAGGGGGTTCGTTGTGATGGTTGTGGGGTTCACCCAATAACTGGCCCTAGGTTCAAGTCTAAAGTGTAAGCAACTTGACTTCAACTATACCTTGTATTGATAAACTTTGTCATCTATTATTTATTTATTTAGAAAGCAATTGTATTGTAATACTTCTATTTTAATGGCAGAAAAGATGACTATGACCTGTGTAGCATCTGCTTTGCTGAAACGGGAAGCAGTGCACAAGACTACATCAGAATAGACCGCCCTGTAAACTATCGGCACCCCTGGTCTTTCAGGGGCTTAAGTGATCATGTATGACAATCTCTCTCTTAAGCCCTCTTTAGTTATTCCATCTCTTAAACTTCTTTCTTAGATTCTGTTCTTCAATCTACAGCATGCCAGGATGCGATCTACAGCACCGCCACACATGTTTAGGGGAATTGGGGTGAAACCTAGTCGACCTAAACTTGACAGCCGTTTTATTCAGGATGTCAATATTTTGGATGGTACCATAATTGCACCATTGACCCAATTTACCAAAATATGGAGGATGAGGAACAATGGTAATTTTGTCTGGCCACAAGGTACCCAACTTGTGTGGATTGGCGGAGATAGACTAAGTGATGCAATTTCTGTTGAACTGGAGGTGGGCAGTCTTAGTTTCTTAATTTGATTTTTACTAAGCTGCCATTTCTTTTAAACCCCAATTTTAAGCTCCTGTCTTCTTGCATCAAAGTGTTTATTTATTTTGTTACTAATGTTTTTTTTTTTTTTTGTTGTGGTTGCCAGATCACTGCAGCTGGCTTGCCTGTCGAACACGAGCTTGATGTGGCAGTTGATTTCGTTGCTCCTAATCTTCCAGGCCGTTATGTTTCGTACTGGAGGATGGCCTCACCATCAGGCCAAAAGTTTGGTCAACGTGTTTGGGTGCTTATCCAGGTTAGAAAGCCTTTCAGTATCATTTGTATGTGATGGCTACTATTAGTGAACACATATCTGGTATCGTTTTTTTGTATTAAGCTCTTCACCATTCATCCTGTAATGCAGGTTGCTACTTCCACAATGGAGCCAGTAAAGAAGCCAGTGCCTGAAAATCTTCGTGGCTTGAACTTGAATCTCCCTCCCGCAAGCAGCAGCAGCATAGGAATCCCAGAAATGATTAACGTGAATCCAGAACCACTGGTTGAAGAGAGCCACAGGGAGCCTAATGTCTCTTCCAAATCTGCAGAGTTGGTTGAGCCAGTTGTTGAGGGGACAAACTCAATGAAGGATCAGGAGGTCAACTTCCCTATAAATGACAGCTTATTTGTCGGTCTTGACAGCACAGCACAACCTGCTCCTCATCTTCCTCCTCCTCCTCCTGTAACCACCGGGGGTTCATCAATTTCGTATCCTGTTGTCGATCTCTCCAATGTTGAACCAGCTGTGGCACCTGCCAGACCACCACCACCACCTCATATGAATGTGGATAAACCTTCTGAGGATGTGACAGATAGCAATGAAGTGGAGTTGAGCCTCCTAAAGGAACTTGAGGCGATGGGTTTCAAACAGGTTGATCTGAACAAGGAGATATTGAGGATGAATGAGTATGATCTACAGCAGTCGGTGGATGATCTCTGCGGTGTTTCTGAGTGGGACCCTATCCTTGAAGAGCTGGAGGAAATGGTAGGTTAAAGCATGAATGAATACTTGTTTATACTTGAAGAATTCTACCTGAACTGAACTAAAAATATTGAGTTGTGAATTTCAGGGCTTTTGTGACAAGGAAGTGAACAAGAAACTCCTCATGAAGAATGGTGGAAGCATAAAGCGAGTAGTCATGGATCTTATTTCTGGAGAGAAGTAGTTTTCTCGAGTATATCTATCTATCAATCTCATAATAATATTATGTGGTGTTGGGTGTGTGCGTCTTAGAAGTTGTGATATATATATATGTTGAATGTGATGTGGTTTTGAGTTAGCAAGCCATGTTATGTATGGCTTGTGTTGCTACTCTAAGTGGATGTTTTAAATTTTAATGCATACCAATAATAATGACTACCAACTTTATTACTTTGTTATGCTTTGCAAGTTTGCATGATGTTGGGGCAGCTAGCTTGTTATTTGTTGGATTGTGTAATATTTTGGATCTTATTGTCAGTCATATCACCCACCATAGTTGTAATGTAAAATGCACCAATTTTTTCTTCAAATAATAATAATAATAATAATAATAATAATAATACATTTCTGTCACCATTGCTGCATTTATCTAATTATGCTTAAGGGTGTTGGCAGTGATCCTATTGGTAGCATAGTTAATTTAATCAGTTAATTTTGATTTAATTTTGATTTATTTGATTATTATTAGTTGTTTGACTAAGTTTGATTAATTAGCTTTTTGTAACAATTTATTGTTTTAAAATGTTAAAATTTAAAAAGTTGATCAAAGTAATTTTTTCAAACAGTTTTTTTAAGAAGTCATTTTGTATGTAATCAAGTATCGACTAATAATTAATTTATCAAACATTTTTTGCAATCAATTAATGTTATCAACTAGTCAAATGCACCCATTTAGCTATTAGGTATATAAGTATATTTGTGTACATTATTCAAATATTGTTTTAGGTCAATTCAAGTTTGAACCTAAAGTGGTAATCTATATATAAGACCTTCTCCAAGGGAGCGTTATCTGCTCCCTCAAACAGTGCTACTTTTGGCGCTGAAGTACTCAATGAAGCGTCAAAAGTGGTGCCATTTTGTCGATTGTCTACAGTGCGCGCCAAATATGGCGCTCACTGTAGCTTGGCGCCAAATGGAGTTAAAAATTTTTATTCTCACTTTGCCCTTGGCCTTTTTTATTAATTCTTTTTGTATCCCTATTTTGTTTTTATAGATTTACATATTTTGTTAAATACATAAACATAAAATTTGAATAATTAAAAATAAATTATATCATTTGAAAGATTGCATCAAGACGATTAAAACAAGCCTAATATTATATATAAGATTAATTAAAAATTAAAAACATAATTTTCATAAAATTAAAGGGACCGGCACGTTTGGGGTCTTTCAGTCACAATTTGCAATAGTCAAGGGACCGACACGTTTTTAGGATAAACGTGTATTACATGATATAATGACATCTTGCATCATAATGCACGATATGATAATTGAAGATGAACGTGATGAGTAAGCGGATATACAACGTTGGAGAGAAGCGCCGGCTATTGAAGTTGATATACGTAGAGATGAAGTTACTCTATTTCAAGAATTTCTTACTCGACATAGACAAATAAAAGATATTATGCACTTCGTAATGCATTGATTGAGCATTTGTGGGAACGATTGGTAATTTTAAAAATTGAATGTAATAGTTGTTATATGTTATATTATTGTGGAATAAAAATATTATTTGCATTACAATTAAATTTTATATTAAAAAATTAAAGTAAAAAATGAAAGTTATAATTGATGAGAAAACAAATTATTTTTGTGTAGAAATAAATTTGGTGTAATGGGTTGGAGATGAATAAAAGTTTAGTGTAAAAATATTCTGAGAATATTTCTTTTGGTGCAGAATGTTGTGTAATGGGTTGGAGATGGCCTAAGCGGGGTTAACTCTGCGAAACATTTTGATTTATGAACCAATTATTTATATTTAACCATGTCTGTTGACCATTTATCATAATTTACATCATCCTGGGGATTCAACATTTTGGGGAAGAAATTGACAATCCTGTAAAACATTTTCTTTTCATATTATGAGTGAAACTGCAACAACCAAACTAATGCGTTGAATGAAAGGATGCTAAAAGCTTGCTATGCCTTCCTTGTACATCATCTCTAGTAAAAAGCTAAACCAAAGATGAAAACCAATTTGCAGTTTCCAAAACTTCATCAAAGCTTTTCAATGAACCTACATACCAAACGAGTCGTGTCATGAAATACTTCTCTGGCAGCTTTACGCCTTTACCTCGTACAGCTTCGCCCCCATCATGAATCAGAGTGTTCTCATGCACCAATCTCATCCGTGAACCTAATTTTCAGTTTCTTGTCTTGACCTGAGGGAATAGTCACAAGCACACTTCAACTGGTGATCTTTGCAGAACCAAAAAGGCTGCAAATTTTAGGATGTTTACGAATATGGTGAGGGCACTTGTAAAGAAGATCCTTTGCCTCGGAGTGTCTACCCTCTTCAAAGAAGGATTCCAAAACATGATGGTAAGCTGCAACAGATGGATATCCCTTACTCAATGCCTTGAGAAATTCCATTGCATCCTCCACTGTCCCCAGCTTTGAAATATACCGATAAAAAGGTTCTGCAAAAGGTGGATAATTCTGCTTCTTCATCATACCAAGTAGATCCAATGCTTCATCCATTTTCATTTCCCCCAACAGCTTTTCGATCAGGTTCTTATATGTTGCTTGCCATGGTCGCAACTGAGCCTGCTTCACCATCTCTTTTAGCAATTCATAAGCACCGACTACTTTTCTCTGACTCACAAAACCATTTATCAATACATCCAATAGATCACCGTCCACATCAAGATTTTTCTCCATCATCTTAGCCAAACAAAGCAAAGCTTTATCGACTGCATTAGCTTCACAGTGCCCTTGAATCAAAATAGTCCAAGTCTTAATATCGGGATTGCATCCTTGTCCTTCCATTACATCTATTACCTCACACGCTTCCTCTAGCCTCCTCGCTTTACAAAGTCCATAAATCAGTTGGCTGTAAGTGATGTTGTCAGCTTCATACCCTGCATTTCTCATGGCTTCCATGATTTTCTCCGCTTCATCAAATCGCCCCAGGCAAGTCATGGACCTATGAATAACATCATAAATCGGCTTTGACAGTGAATTCCCAGCTTCCTCGTATTTCTTCACGACCCTAAATATCAGATCAAGATCGGGAGGAACACGAGCTGCAATGCTTCGTAAAAGTATAGCACACTCACCAGTTGACGGCTTATAAGGGCTATCCATCATATACTCATAAAGCTCTACAGCATCTTTAAACCTCTTATTCTTCTGAAAAGTCCTCGAGACCTTTATATAGGTATCAAGATCCATATCATAACCAGCAGTCTTCATCTCCTTCAGCATACTCCAAAACTCTTCGATTGATTCTTCTTGGGGAAGAACCCTAAGAATCCCATTATACGTTACACCATTGTGATCATAACCAAGCCTTTCATTAACCCATTTGAAAAACTTCACAGCCTTCAAAGGACACCTCCCATCTCTAAGTTCCTTTAAAACCCTAAGTATAAAATTATCTGAAAGCAAGATTTTTTTACTCAACAATTCTTTCTCCACCTCGTATCCCCAATCTGAACTCTTAATCACTGCAACCACCTCATTTACCGAATCAGAAGTACCATTTTCTTTCATCATAAGCTTGTGAAACTTTTCCAAAGCAGCAGCATCAGTATCCATTTTCAACTTGCGGAAGCTAGAAAATATAGATTTGTAAGTTTCTCCATCAATACAAACTCCCTTCTCTCTCATTTCCTTAACAATTACCCAAAACTCCTTCATCGAATCCTTGTGTGCACAAATCCTAAGCATCAAGCTATAAACAGACGAATTCGGTTCAAACCTATTAGCATTCACAGCCCAATTGAAGAATTTTTGAGCTTTTTTGGGGTCTTTAGTGAGCCTTTTTAACAAATACATAACAGCTTCGTGGCTCAACGGAGAGCCACATCTTTCCGACAGCGTTTTCTCGAACTTAGCGGACCAATCATTTGAAAGCACAAGCTCTATGACTGAATCGTGCATTGTCGAAAAGAAGAGCTTTTGGTTTGCATTAAATATTATATTTGTAGAAGTGCGAAATGGAGAGAAATAGGAGGGAGAGGGATGGAAGAAGTGAGTCACCTGAGTATGAGTGGAGTGATTTGTGAAGGGTCGATCAGAAAAGAGAGAGCTTGCGACTCGAAGGGAAGCCAGTGTTCTCCTTGCTCGATTCATGGCTGCCGCCATTGCTGGAGGCTGCGCTTGGGTTTTCCAGGTTTTAGTTTTAATTTGAAAGTTAATTTGGATCCGTACCCGAGAGTTCGAGACCCACAGGGTTCAGTCATCAGTTGTTATATAGTGACCATGATCTATAGGGCAAATTATGCTCTGCATCTGCATGGTGCATACGGATACAAAAACAACGTCGTTTTATTAAAAACGCGCGTCTCCCCTTATAAAAAAATTCAGGTTCGATTCCCAGCAACAACATATGAACTAAAACTCCAGAATCGATGAACTATAATTCCATAATCGATGAACTATAATTCCATAATCGATGAACTATAATTTCAGAATCTAATCTATGAATTAAAAATTTCAGAATGAATGAACTAAAATTTCAGAATCTATGAACTAAAATTTCAGAATCAATGAACTACAATTCCAGAATCGATGAACTATAGTTCCAGAATCAATGAACTAAAATTCCATAATCTATGAACTAAAATTCTAGAATGAATGAACAACATAATGCTGTTGCTGGGAATCGAACATGATTTTTTTTTTTGTAAGGGGAGACGCGCGTTTTTAATAAAACGACGTCGTTTTTGCATCCGTGTGAACCATGCATGGTGCATACGGATGCACAGCATAACTACTCGATCTATAGTGCTATGAGGATCATGATTGTCAAATGAAACTATATTAGAATTAAAATAATGTTTCAATATTGTTAAATTAAATTAATGTGTGTGAAAAATGAAACTAAAAACAGAGCTCATTCAATAATGTATATTTTTTTTAAAAAAAATTCAACAATGTATATTGTCAAATGAAATTGTAGTATAATTAAAATGATACTTTAATGGTGTTAAATGAAACTAGTTTGTGTGAAAAATGAAACTAGTGTGTGTGAAAAATGAAACTAAACTCCAGAGTCATACAATAACATATATTGTCAAATAAACGTGGAGTGTAATTAAAATAATACTTCAGCACTATTATAATTAAATTAGTGTGTGGAAAATGAAACTACAAAACAGAATTCATACACTAGTGTATATTGTCAAATGAAGTTGTAGTATAATTAAAATGATACTTTGGGATTGCTATAATGCAACTAGTGTGTATGAGAAATGGAACTGAAAAACACAACAATATTATCAAATGAAATTGAAGTGTAGTTAAAATAGTTAATACCCAAAATAGTCATTGACTATAGTGGTTTTTCTCAATTTCGTTTTAAACAACTTTGGTGACCCAATGTAGTCTCAGACTTTTGTGCTTTTGCTCAATTTAGTCATCCGTTTGTTATTCCGTCAAATTGGTGTTAAATATAGAGACAATTTAGTAATTTCAATATTGGCATCTCTTTACTCATAGACCTGCAAAGTGCGGAATCCCTCTTTCTTTTACGAATTACTCCCAAACTTGCGACGATGGGTTTCTTCGTCTCCATAACCGGAGACGAGGATGGGTATCTTCGTCTCTGGCGGACTGGCGGAGACGTTCCGTTATTATTATTTTTAAAAAATTATTTTTAAAAAATATTTTAAATTGGGTGACCTGTTAGAAAGGGGGAAAACCCTGCAAATTGAACAAATTGTTTGAAATAGGTTAGTTTAGGGACTCAATTGTATTTTTTTGAGTTCAATGATCTAATTGCATTATCGTGTGCAGTTCGATGACCTATTTAACCCTTATTCCAACAACAAAATATGTTTTTATACAAATTGTGAGGTGGGTGGTGGTTATATATGGCAAATTATATCGTGCACAATGCATTATGCGCATTAAGAGTTTATGTGTATTATGTTAAGAGTATATGTGTATCGTGTTAAGAGTATACGTGTATCGTGTTAAGAGTTCATGTGTATTACGTTAAGAGTTTATGTGTATTACGTTAAGAGTTTATATATATTATGTATTATGTTAAGATTATGTGTATTATGTTAGGAGTTTATATGTATTTTATTATACAATTATGTACATACAAAACATGGGATTTTTAGGGCGCACAATATGGTGCACGGTATAATAATTGGTTATATATAGGTTGATCTGTTTAAGTTGTAATCCGTGGGTTAATCGGGTCAGGCTTGGTCTCATAATGTTGGGAATTCATACAACTCAACCCATTTTGGCATATCTACTTCTCGAACCAAATTTTGATTGATATGTCATTTTTCAAACACTTCTTTAATCAATTGAAAAGTTACTTGAAGTATAAACTATGTCAAAATAGAGTTATACTATATATATATATGTGTGTGTGTGTGTGTGTGTGTGTGTGTGTGTGTGTGTGTGTGTGTGTGTGTGTGTGTGGGGAACATATTTTTACTCCTTTACTTGTATTGGCAATATTTATTGTCAAAATATTACAAGGAGCAAGGGGCGATCACCTTGAGAGATTTCTCCCATGACTGGTGAGACTCGATTCCTGGTTATTCTTTTCAAATTTCACTCTTATGACTAAGTGAGCTGTCCATGCGGACAAAGCTATGCTTTTTTGTAATCATGTTTGGTTGGAAACCTTTCATGTTTTGTTTATGGTAATCATGTTACCTATGGAAAGGTGGTAGTTTTTATGAATTAGGGTCTTGGGAGCATAAAGGCAGCTTGTGTGGTTCAATTATGGACAGGGCAGTAGACTTATAGGGACTGGAGCAGAGCAATTACTCGGGGCATGTGATTCAACCATGAGACTATAGTCTATTATTGAGATATTGTGTTATGAGAATTGATCTGAGATATTGTGTTATGAGAATTGATCAGACATAGATTATGTGTCATGAGAAACTCGGGACTATCAATTTCTAGCGGTACATTTAAATATATATCGTCAATGTATGCATATCGGAAGATGATCTGATTATATAAGCCTATGTGTTATTGTACTCAATTTACTTAGCGTACTGAGCATAATTTTGCAGTTATCTTCAATCATCTTGAAATTTTGTGAGAGGAAGTAAAGGTTGGGAATAGAATTATATTTTCTGTCAAAATATTATTACTTATCCATAGGAGTACGTTTTGAGTAGATTGGGAGTTGAATATAGCAAATTAAAGTGGGATAGTCAGTCGTCATCAACGTGCATACATACAATTCCAACGCAAGTACGCAACTCAGTTCACTGTTCACCACAAGATCTAAGTCTTGAATATAATCTAATGCTAAGGACTAATTAATATTACGATTATCATTCATTTTCCAAGAAAACATCGAATAATATACTGTTATGATATATAGACGTAGACCCTTCGGTTCCCGCTTCCTCTACATCCATAATCTCCAGTTTCCAGTGCTGTCTGTCTTTCCATTGCTGTATAAATTTTCCGCCTCTTTCACACTACTGTCTCATCAGCCCTTCACCAACTAAGCTTTAGCTACTCCGGCCGCCGATCATATATCCTTTTTGCAGTATGGCGATGGTGATGAGTCCGAAGGATCACATTGAGGATATCCGCAGAAGAAAATTTTCAATTGAAGGAGACCCAAACTCTCTCAGAGAGGACCTACATCAAGCCGTTAAAAACCTTTCCGCCGAGCTCTACTCAAAGGATGTCCACTTTCTCATGGAAATCATCCAGGTACATTATATATTTATATCTATTAATTAAAATGTCCTTTAGTTTTTGTTCTTCAGTAGTTCATGCCAGTTTGTAGCTAGTAGCTAATAATTAGTCCATTTCTTAAGACGTAAGTGATGGATCATGGATGGTGTGCAGAATGCTGAAGATAATGAGTACGATGAGGGAGTGAAACCCAGTCTGGAATTCGTGATCACGTCGAAAGACATAACGGAGACGGGAGCCAAGGCGACTCTCTTGATATTCAACAACGAGAAGGGGTTTTCCAGCAACAACGTTGAATCCATTTGTAGTGTCGGCCGTTCCACTAAGAAAGGCAAACGCAAGAGTGGCTATATTGGCGAGAAAGGTTTTGCTATTCATTCATTTATTCATTTATAAGAATAAGAACGTATGGGATAGAGTTCTCTGATCCAGTGTACGTGTTTCAGGGATTGGGTTCAAGAGCGTGTTTCTGATCACTGCTCGGCCATACATTTTTAGTAATGGTTACCAGATTCGATTTAGCGAGGAGCCGTGCGAGCATTGCGGTATTGGGTTTATTGTTCCAGAATGGGTGGATGGCAACCCTATTCTTGGACGGATTAACCAAATCTATGGTTCTTCAACGAAACGCCATACCACAACAATGGTTTTGCCGCTCAAGTCTGACAAGGTGGCGCCGGTGAAGCAGCAGCTTTCAAGCATCCATCCTGAGCTTCTCTTGTTTCTTTCAAAGATAAGGGCGCTTTCGGTCAGGGAAGAAAACCAGGATCCAAAGCTTAAATCTGTTAGTGCGGTATCCATTTCAAGCGAGAAAGATCTTGTGAGGAAGAAAAACATTGATGCCGAGTCTTTCTTGCTGGTTTTATCTGCTGACGAAAAGGCTGCTGGGAGCAATGGACAGTGCAGTTACCATATGTGGAGGCAAAGATTCCCCGTTAAGCAAGAATGCAGAGTTGGTAGGAGAATGGAGGTTGATGAGTGGGCGATCACCCTTGCGTTTCCTTATGGAGAACGCCTCAACCGTGGAAATATCTCTCCTGGGATTTATGCCTTTCTTCCTACAGAAATGGTCACCAACTTCCCCTTCATTATTCAGGCTGACTTCTTGCTATCCTCGTCCAGGGAGGCAATTCTTTTGGATAACAAATGGAATAAGGGAATTCTCGAATGTGTTTCTGTGGCCTTCTTAGCAGCATTCACCTCCTTAGTTAAAGCCAACCAAGATGCTCCCACTTCTACTCTCGTTCATATGTTTAACTTTCTGCCACTTAAAGGTTCTCCATATTCCACTCTTAACTCCATCAAAGACTCAATCAGAGAGAAACTTCTCCAGGAGGATATTATGCCCTGTCAGTCATATACAACACAGAAGTTTTTTCGAAAACCAAATCAAGTTGGAAGGCTAAAGCCTGCCTTTTGGACGTTGGTGGATAAGGCAAGGAATCAGGGGGTTAGTTTCCTCAACATCTCTTCCCACGGAAAATATATTCTAAATCAAGCATTTGATCAGGAAAGGTACAATGAGGTTTTGAAGTTTTTGGATGTAAAGTATGTAGAAGACGGGTGGTATTCGAGGTGCATTCAGAGTTCTGATCTTGTCTTGGGTGTCTCAGAGGATCTATACCTGGAACTTCTGTTATTTGTTGCTGACAACTGGGGTTCATTTTCAAACACGAGTATGTTGAACGTACCATTGTTGAAGTATACTGAAAGTAACCTGCATGTGGCATTGAGTAGCGTTAATTCTGATCATCTAACGCTGTTTCTGTGCAGTGGCTTAGGTGTAGTATCATGGCAGATAAGTTGGAATAGGGAGTTTCGTTGCGTTGAGGGATATTTCATTGCTGAATCAACACAGAAAGCACTTCACAGTAGCCCTTCTAAGTGGAAGAAAGTGTTTGATTGGCTTTGCAGTAAAGTGGGTGTGAGGTCTGTAGATGTGTATGACTATGCAGTTATGATCCGGGACTCACTGATTCATGACCGGAAGCTTGTCCTTGCATATGCTCATTTCCTGTATCACTCATTCAAGGACAAGCATTTGTCTGCCACACAAATTTGTTCGCTTGGTGTTGACATGCCGCTTGTTGATGACTATGGGCGGGTGGCCACTAAAACGAAACATGTTGTTGTACCTGCAAATGGAAGTAAATGGGTGCAGCTTCTTGGTTCATCAAATCCATGGAAAAAAGCGGGTTATGTTGAACTGGGAGGAGAATATTTGCATGCTCAAACATATGCTGGTGTGTCTTCCAAGAAAGAAGAGCTCCTTCCATTTCTTAAGACTTATGCTGGTGTTTTGGATATTCCGAATTTACCTCCTCCAGATGCTTCACTATCCAGTATGGCTTCCCCACTAACCAGGGATAATGCATTCCTGCTTTTAGGTTGGATTGGTAAAATGGAAAAGAAAGAGATTCCGGAGAGATTCTTGAAATGCATAAGGGAAGGAAGCTGGCTTAGAGTGCGTGTATGTGGTAATCCTGGCTACAGGCCCCCATCACAATCCTTCTTACCTTCCTCGTCCTGGGGAGATCATTTGCAGAATAGATCTTTGCCTGTTGATATTCCATTAGTTGATCGGGAGTTTTATGGTAATGAGATTTCTGGGGAGTATAAAGAAGCTCTGAGAACTGCTGGTGTTATGTCTGAGCTAAAGGAAGCCAGTGAGTTTATTGGGAAGCACTTTATGTCTCTGTATGCTTCTTCTACATTGACAAAAGGTGATGTCATTTCGATGCTGAATTTCATTAGGTATTTGGGATCTAGATTTCTCCCTGCTGACAACTTCATCAACAGTATCAAAGATAAGAGTTGGGTCCAGACAACTCAAGGCAACAAGACCCCAGGCCAATCTGTGTTTCTTGATAAGGAATGGGCTGCTGCATCACAGATCAGCAACATCCCATTTCTTGATCAAAATCATTATGGTCAGGAGATTCTTGCTTACAAGGAAGAACTCAAGCTTCTTGGTGTAACTTATGGGTTTAATTATGATCGAAGTCATTTCCAGCTAGTTGTTTCCAACTTGAAACCTTCAGCCAACTTGACTTCACTAAGTGCTGAAGTAGCTCTCCTGGCACTAACCTGTATTGGTCACCTAAAATTATGTTCTTCTGATAGTCTATGCATAGCCCTCGCGGGCAATAGATGCCTAAAGACTGTGAGCAATGGATTCAGATCTCCTGCTGAATGTTTCCTACCAGATCCAACCTGGGCTTGCCTTCTTCAGGTTTTCGATGTCTTTCCTTGTATTGACGAGAAGTTCTATGGGAGTAAAATCAGTTCATTCAAGAATGAGCTTCAAATGTTGGGTGTGGTGGCTAGGTTTGAGGCTGTTAGTAAGTCATTCGCGCAAGTTTTTAGACAGCAGACATCCAAATGCACGTTGAGTAAGAGCAGTGCACTTTCCCTCCTGGAATGCTACAGGAAGTTGAAGAAAGCAAACTGCTTGAATTTACTAAAGTCATATGAAGATATAGGGGAAGTTATTCAAGAGGTGAAGTGGCTTAGAACAAGACTTGGTAGTGCATGTACACCCAAAGAGTGCATCTTGTTTGGTAAAGATTGGGAAGCCATTTCTTCTGTCTCTCTGTTACCATTTCTTGATGATGCTTATTACGACCAGGGCATTCTTGAGTACAAAGCGGAGCTTTATAGTATGGGTGTCTCTACCACTTTCAGAAAAGGTTCAAAGTTTGTTCCTGCAGGGCTCCGATTGCCCAAGAATCCTAGTGAAATTTCACCTTCTGTTGCGTGTTCACTTCTGCTGTGCTTAAAGAATTTACAAGAGGATGTTGGCAAGTATCTGATCTCTGTTCTCTTGGAGAAACTCGATCATAAGTGGATCAAGACTCAAGCAGGTTACCGATCTCCAAAACAGTGTTTGCTATTTGGTTCTAGTTGGAATGGTAGGCTGAAGCAAGAAGATGGACCCTTTATAGATGACAAGTTTTATGGCAGCCCAGATTTTTTGTCATACACGAAAGAACTTGAGTCTTTGGGGGTAGTGGTTGATGCGAAAGAAGGTTGCTCCTTGGTTGCTGATTACCTTGATGCGCACTCTAATCGTGCCACTATCAATCGGATATATACTTACTTGAACGATAACGGTTGGGTTCATAGCAGTGATGAAAGTGCAAAGATATGGATTCCCAATGGGGAGAATATTGGAAAGTGGGTGAGTCCTAAGGATTGTGTTCTCCATGATAAAACCAATCTTTTTGGTTCACACTTGTTTGTCTTAGACAAGTATTACAGCAATGAATTGCTGGTTTTCTTCAGCCGATTGGGAGTTAATAGCAATCCTAGTCTGGAACACTACTTGAAGCTTTGGAAGGAATGGGAGTGTGCAGAGAGGAGATTACTGACTTCTGAGTGCTGTGCCTTTTGGGAGTTCATAGTAAACCATTGGAGCTCAAAGACACAGAAACTTGTTGCAGAGAATCTATCCAAACTTCCTGTTTGTTCAGTCCATGATGATGGGATTTTGTTGCTTGACAGAAACGACGTTTTTATAGCCGACGATCTCTACAAGAAGGAACTTTTTGAACAAAGTTGTGTGGATCCTCTGTTTGTTTGGTACCCCCAGCCAAGCCTGCCATCCCTGCCCAGAACCAAGCTTCTCAATATCTACACAGAAATTGGTGTTGGGGCTCTGTCAGAATCTGCCCAGAATATGGGACTTTCTTCAATCGAGTGTGCGGGGCTGGAAGTGGCCAATCCGGATATGACCTTCATTGGGAAAACCATGTTCACTCTCATTCTTGGTTTCCTAGCTCAGCCTTCTCTGGAGATGGAAGCTGAGAAGAGGCACGAGTTAGTGAGGCGGCTCGTGAACACCAGCTTTCTGAAGCTGAAAGAAGCAATTGCAGTGGAGTATAGGCTATCACTCTCGTCTGGGAAAATCCTTATCGCTAAGGCAAGGAGAATGATGGTGTGGGAGAGAGAGAGATCCAAGTTTTTCATTGCAGAGATTGAGAAATCGGATGGTTACCAAGGTGTCCTGGAATATGCTACGTATTACTCAGAAGAAGTTTCAAAGGGGATATTATGGGAGAAAGAAGATGCGTTGCGTGAGCTTGCTGAACTCATCAGGTTGGGGTTCATCTTCAAGTTTGATAAAGTAGCTATCGGCTTCCTGATGAAGATAAACAACCTTCAGGTTTTTAAGGAAGATGAACTCTTTCTGTCTTCTGTTCTTCCTGCTCAATAGATTCTTGGTTGGTTGGTATGTTTTCTTCTCTTCCTTAAATGTTTTCTGTTATTTTCAAATCTCAATAATCTCAAATTTTAGAGTTATTTGTGCACTGATTTCCTTCCATTTTTGTAAAATCAGATTTCGCAACGCAATGGTGGTGGGGTGCGGTGGCAAGTGAAGCTCCAACGACTCATATTCTTGTTTGCTTGCATATTTTGTTTTGCATTCTCTTATCAAAATGATGTTATCGTTAATGTATTGGGCACTTTTTGTGGTTAAAAATATCATTGTGGAAGACACAGCTCTAAGGATGTGGGCTTATGAAAAATAGATTTTCAATCACTTTTGATGACTTTAATTTATGTTGTCTTGTACTCGTATGTTTTACATGGACTATTTTATAAATACTACTTGTATGTTTCTCAGTTGAGTTTGATTTCAGGGGATAACAAGGAATCTGGATACAGAATGGTCTTCAAACCTGTCTGGTCTAGGATTATCTTGCCCAGCGCTTGTGTTGGTGATTTTCCAGGTTTAGTGATCAACAGCCAGCGGCTAAACCATTCTATTACTTCTGGGAGAAATTGGTTGTAATAGAATGTGGTTCTCATCCATGAGGGTTCTGTCAAGTAGTTGTCTCCTCGACATACACTGTTAACCATTGCCTTTGCAGACTTCTCTACTGGTTCTATTGGCACCACACTCAATTCAACCTTATGGAAAAGATCACTGTTAGATCACTAGTAGCAAATGGTTAACTTTATTTCCTTTACTGGCCTCTGCTCAATAATCCTCTGAACACATGGTGTGGTGTGGGACTTGACCCTCATTGGCCTCCGCCCAACAATCACATATTTATACTCATAATCAAACATGATGTAATCCAGCTAAATTTAAAGGGGAAGAGTTAGCTTAGCTTAGCTTACATCTCTCATTTCTTGATCAACTTCCATTTCTCCTGATTTCCCCAGAAATTTTCCTTTGGTCATTTCTGATTCAGTTAGCCCCGGGGTTACAATGGTTATTCCAATATCTGATCGGAGGAGTTCTACTCTTAAGGTCTCATAAAAGCTTACCACTGCAGCTTTGCTTGCCTAAAATAGCAAAGACCATTTGAGCATAATAAATAAACCATGAGAGAATATGCACAGATCAGATTAATGGGAAGAATATATGAGAGAGATGGAAGAGTTAACATACATTATAGAAGCTCAGCCTTGGAGCGTTTAGCCAACTCCCAGATGATGCAATCACAATGATCCTGCCTTTACTTCTCTTCAAATGAGGAATCGCAAAATAGGTTGTATAAATTGATCCCCAGAAGTTTATGTCCTACACAATTATATTTGATTTTGAATAAGTATCATTTGATTAAATAAACGTACGTTTCATCCTAACATGGATCGGAATTACCATTGAAGGTGCAAAGTTTGTGATATCATTCACATCTTCAAACATGCTTAGCGGTGTTACTGAAGCATTGTTCACCAAATGATTCACTGAAACAAAACAAAATTGTTAGGATCAAACTCTTACCACTGTGCCAAGAATTGTCTCCAGTGTGATCTTACATTGACCAAAGTGGTTGATGGCTTCATGAATTAGAAGCTGACAGTCTTCTACTTTAGAAACGTCTGCGCGTATGGTAATAACATATGGAGAGCCAAGCCTATTCGCTCTTTCTGCAACTTCTTCAAGACTCTTCTCCCTTCTTGCCGCTAGAACCAAGTATGCTCCTCTCCTTGCATATTCGTACGCTAAGTGCTTCCACACAAAAAACATTCATATATATTTTTTAATTCCTCAATATAATAATAATGTAAAGAAATACTACATCAGATACTAACGAACTGTTTCAGTAGTTCCCACGTACCTCGCCGATGCCAGACGACGCTCCGGCGATGACAACGACTTTCCCGGCGACGTTTTCCGGGAAAACAGAACGCAAGACAAAGTGAAGAATCTTGAAAATGAGATAGGGCGGTGAGAAGAAGATGAGGGCATTTAGTGTGATGATAGCTGCAAGAAAATTCAGTATTTTGTGAATCAATTCCATGGATCGGAGTTAAGGAGTTTCTCCGGTGGCCTCCTAGCTACTGGGGGGCTGCCGGCTGGGCTTTTATTACTGTTACTGGAGACCACGTGGCAATTAAATACTACAACAACGCTTGAGGTTTAAACGCCACGTGTCTTTGTGCATTGCCACTCCAGCAAAAACTATCAATTTCCCTTCAATGGATAATGGATATGAATTGTTAGGAAGAAAATTAAAGATAAATGCAGAAGCTTTTTCTCATTTCTTTTTTTAAAATATTGTAATAAAATAGATTTGAATCAGTATGTAAGAATGAAATTAGTTTTTATTACTATTGTGCTATTTTTCTACTCTCTAATTCTATCAACTTATTATTTGGGTTGTTAGATATTTCTTATTTTATTTTACTTTTCTAAATATTACTTATGTACATAGATGAAAGGGTTCTTCTTTTCAGAGATGAAAGAAAACAAGTAAAAGATCCACTCACCAATGAACCTTTACTTTGCTGATCTAAAGATGCATGCAATCTCAATTAAGGTTGTCAAAGTGGGCATAAATTTGCAGACTAGTCCTAATTCGACCTGCGATGGGATAGGTTAGGACCTAAAATCTTTTACTTGCGAAAATACGGGTTTCACGACCTTAGCCTCCGCGAATTGTTGGCTACACGGGTTAGCCCGTGCGGGTCATGGACCAACTTGCGGGCTTCCTAGAAGATATGTGTATATACACACACACACATACACAACATAAGTTTATCAATATCCCTCCAACCTGTCGAGTGTCGACGTCGTGAGTGGATTTTTTTCAAAACTCATCCCGCTCCATTGAATGTGGATACCTACTCTCATTTTTCAGTTTTAGTTCAATGGTTTAGTCCGCCCGACAACCCACAGTATAGGGTTAGGGCCAACTCAACCCAAACAAAAAATAAAAAATACCATTTAACGTAACCCAAACTGATAAGTCCAACAGTCTTGTAAGACTAGCCCAAAATTCAGCGGGCTGACCCAATTGACATCCTAATCAATCTCAATTGAATACTTTTTTGAGCTTGTGAATCATGGTTGGAACATATATAGATAATGAAATTAGGATTATCTACTGTTATTAGAGCTTGAAAAATATAATGGGTGGCTAAACTGATAAACCCAAATTGTGGAATATAATTAGGGGTGATACCATCCCCATAAAAATCCAGAATGGAGACTTTGATGACTAAATTTATATGGGTAACTGGTTGATGCTTGATATGCTACTTCTGAAATTTGGTTGAGGGGATATGATGCTATTAATGTGGTACGTTTTAATGAAACTAAGCATATGGATCATCTTTGTTGATTGGTAATTACTAACTTATGAAATGTATATATTCAATCACATAAAGATATATATGATGTCATTGCTAGGATTGAAGGTCTGTGGGGTGATGATGTTCTTAGGAGTAGTGCAATTGTCTCTGCCAGATATTGATAAGACAAATTAGTTCTTTTAAATTTTAGATCAAACATTAATACACTTTTTGTGTAAGGTTGACTGGCTGGTCTATGTAGAGCATTATAATTAACTTTATTTGATTGCAGATTACTTTGATTTCTAGAATTATTTGTGATTTTATGTTATCAAGACGTTAGGTTATTTTTGATAACTTTTTATTTTTTTTGTTTTGTACTTTTGAGACAAATGTTCAAATTACGTACAACTTAGTCCAACAAAATAAAAGAAAAGAAAAAAAGATGGAGGAGACTTTAATTAGCTAGAAGCAATGATAGCAAGGGTTTGGTAAGCTACATAATAGCTCAAACAATTAAAAGATTACTGAACAGAAATAATTTAAATGGCCAAATCCAATATTATGCTATTAAAATATCATGATAGTACAATAATTATGTAAATATAAATAATTAAAGATGCACCTTAATTAAATAATAGCTATACTTTTTGACATAATAGTAAGTGTTTCATTTGACAATTATCAATTCAATGTTCTTTAATTTATTGGTCGTTTCTAAATTATCAGAGCACTAATAATAATAATAATAATAATAATAATAATAATAATAATAATAATAATAATAATAATAATACGTATTTAAATATAATTAAAGAGTTCATTCTAAAAAAAAAAATTAATGGGTGAAAAATTCCTCAAATTTAAATAATATTCTATAATTTTTTATGTAGTCAACATCAAATGGCATTAGTGCATTTGAAATAGAAGTTGTTAAAAGCAAAATATATGCCTAAGCCCTGTAGATCTTTTGACTAATAATGTATATATGTAGAATGTTAATGAATATAAGAAGGTTTTTTCCAATTGATATTGTGTACCTCTATTTTGAATTATTGTGTTATTTCCTACCAATACAACCAAAGACAATTCATCACAAGTATGTAATATATGTCATTCCTTGTCTCCTTAATAGGCTTACATAGAAGAAAACATGCATTAATAGCTTACTTTGTTTGTTTAAGCAAGAGATATAGTGATATACATATCACAATATAAAATATTATTTTTTTAAAAATTATGGTTCAAAATAAATAAAATCATACCTAATTGTGCTGTACATGAAATGAGACGTTAACCTAAAAGACACTGAAAACACAATCCACATGTAAATGTTAGTCATTAATTAATGATTTTGGTTGGTCAAGAATGAGGAAATTTTGTCCGCATGGACAGCTCACTTGGTCACAAAGGTGGAGTTTGGGAACAAATTAAATATTTGGGATTGAGTCTCACCAGTGATACTATAAAAGCAAAATCTCAAAGTGAGGAAGCTCTTTGTGCACAATAACCTCTCAGATCAAATATTTTATCGGGCCCTTAGAGTTGAGGATTCAACTTTTTGGGGACAACGTAACAAAGAATGAGGAAATTTGTGATATTTTGTTGAAAACACAATTCACAAAATAATTTTCTAGAAAATTATTTTCAAATATGTCCAGCTTTGAGATTAATTGATTATTATGGTGTATGGAGGGTGCACAAGATACATATGCACCCAATTTAATGCCATATATCACGGCATCCATTAAAACAAGATTGTAGCACTTAATTACTCCACTTTCTGTCCCATCAAAACCAAATTCAACAACCTTACCTAAACCTTATATGTCAAAAATGCTAACAAACGGATGTCAAAAATGCTAACAAATGTATTTTTTATTTTTTTTTACACCTTATATCCTCATTATTATAAGACTAATATCAGCCTTGTTTCAGAATCATGCTCGACCCAACCTTTAATCTTACCGTTTCGTTAAGTATTCAATTGTACCAAATTATTAGATTAAATATTTAAAAAAAAATTATTTGTTAATAGTACTATTCCCTCCCTCACATAAATAAGTTTCCATTTTATGTTGTGGATAAAAACTTTTGTATAGACACATTTACCTTATGCCTTTATATTCTTGTTCTGAACATTTTTAAAATTAATTTTTGTGAAATTTCTGAGAAATTAAATTTATAATAAATGCTTTACCTTTATGTATATATATGTACCAAAATTTTCCCCATGAAAAAATAAGAAAAGAGAGAAATACACCATATATATTGTATTTCTTTTAATTAAAATTCATAAACATAAAGAGTTTATGCCTAGCTTTTTATTCTCGATGTTCACTACTTATGTAGCTTTGTTATCCTTTCAAAAAAATGTAGCTTTGTTTATTTTTAGGGTAAGTCACATTCATAAAATATTATTTAAGTCTAGACTATACAAGTTGTACAGATCAATGACTTATGATAAAAGTGGTTTTAGATTGTTACTTTCAAATATTAACTGCAATTTGATAGTCAGGAGAGCTAAAAGTAATGAACTCATGCCAAAATTAATATTCTTTCAAAATATCAAGATTATTAAATTAAGGGTCCGTTTGGAAAGCAGGAAAATGACTTCTGGAAAATAACTTTTGGAAAATGAGTCATTTTCCATAAATCTCATTTTCCATAAGTCATTTTCCTTTCCGGTGTTTGGTTACACAATGGAAAACTGTCTTTTGGTGTTTGGCTCATTTTCTGGAAATGATGTAGAATTGTATAATTACACATTTTATATAAGTAATTATTTTGTTTAAAATATATAAAATTTACAATAATATTTTAAATAATAATATTTATTTTTAAAATCAAATAATATTATTTATTAAAAAAATTCAAAAACAAAAAATGACGGAAATCAGAGAGTACAAAACTCTCTGGTTTCCGTTGTTATCTCTGGTTTCCGACCACCGGAAACCAGAGAGAGCTTCTCTCTGGTTTCCACGGCCGGAAACCAAAGAGAGCTGCTCTCTGGTTTCCGGTCGGAAACCAGAGAGAAGCTCTCTCTGGTTTCCGACCGGAAACTAGAGAGCCATTTTCTGGTTTCCGCCGACTTGGATTTCCAAGTCGGAAACCAAATTGGTTTCTGACTTGGAAATCCAGAATTTGTGTTTCCCCTTGATTTTTCAATGACGAGAAGCGATGTCCAAAATCGAAGAAGTGATGTCGAGAAGGAAGAAGCGGAGAAGAAGGATGAAGCGGAAAATGACTTCCCCTAAAAAAAAAAAAGGGGAAGTCATTTTCCATAAAAATGGCTCTATTTTCCATTGACCCAACTTCATTTTCCATTGACTTTAGTGTTTTCCTACTTACCAAACACTCAAAACTCGAAAAATGATTTTCAAAAATCATTTTCTGCGTTTCCAAACACACCCTAAAGGAATTTTTATGCTTAACAAATTATATTTTAGTAATTGACAAATACTTAGAATGATCCAATATTATAAATTGAATGTAAATAAAATAAAATTATCTTCACTATCATGATTACTATTGTATTTGAATTGGATCGATGCAAGTGTAAAAAATGTTACACACTAGACCCACTTTGTTGGCTTAATTAGTTGTCAAATAAAATAGTTGTTAGGCTCTGGATCACAATCAGGATGCGCTCCAGAACGGGTGAAAACTCTTTCAAAAGTGGTTATCTAATCTTCAGATGCTATTTAGTGGTGATCTAAATCATGTGGTGCAGCTTCTCTTGAGGATTTGGTGGCTGCACATTTT